AAATTTTATAAGTGTCTTTTGTATAAGAAATGAAAAAAATGATTAATAACTGATTAACTCAAATCATATAACCAAAAAAATGTACACTAAGAATCGTTTAAAAAACGTATCTAAAGATATGTAATCTTTATATATAATGATACAATTTTAAATAAATCAATAAGCAAATAATTACTATACATATACAATATACATACATATTCAATACATGACCTAGTTATGCTATCAATAAATAGAAGAATATTCACTTCAATCATCTTTAAAAAAGCGCATGTATTCAGGCCTTTTTAACGTCCCACTGCTGGGCACGGGCCTCCCTTCAGTACGAGGGGGATCAGGCCATAGTCCACCACGCTGGACAAGTGCGGGTTGGCGGACTTCACATGTCTTTCGAAAACTTGCTAGGTTCTCTTAGACATGCAGGTTTCCTCACGATGTTTTCCTTCACCGTTAAGACAAGTGGTAATCATGTTGGAAATGATTCGCACATGAAAATATCAGAGGTGCGAGACCCGGGATTCGAACTCCCTTCACTCGGTTTCCCAAGCAAGCGCGTTACCACTGGGCTACCACTGCCTAACAAAAAAAACCGCATACGTCAAAGTATTATAATATGATCCCCCTTTAGTAACTATTAAAGGAATAAACATTCTTACACCACCTAATAATTATCTATTAAATTCAATGTATAGGGATATCTAAATATATTTTTCATATTATATTAAGATCTTTGATAAAAGGTTCGCCAGGAAACTAAGCGAATAGAATTCGACATGATTAACATATAATACAGCAATCCTTTAGCACATCGTGAGGAAACTTACATGTCTGAGAGAACTTAACTAGATTTCTACCTTCTGGTGGGATGAGACGTTAAAAAGGGCTCAGTCTGAGTGAGAGAGAGTGAGTGAGTTATAAGTACCTAGGTGTCAAGTTTCGTTAGAAGTTATACAAAATCAAAAGTGTGCTTAATTATTTATTATTAAAACAATTTCATAATTTAGAAAATAACAAAGTAAAAGAAATTTTCTAATTTCAATCGTGCTACAGATAAGATATCAAATTAGAAAGTTAAATTAATAGCCAAAGATATCTTTTACGTTGTAGATTCTATTTCACCGGTATTTAGTTTGAGAAGGGTTGGACAGCTAGAAAGGGGATGATATCGCAGACAAGTCTTGAAATGTTAGAAAAATAATGACAATATTGATGTTTTGGTATTTCTATTTTTCTTGGCTTTTTAAAAAGATTAACAGCGTTAGATTTGTGTAAGTATCTAGTTATTTGTCCATCTTTCACGCATCAGCAACAGATTGAAGTGATTTTTTGCATAATTACTGTTTAGGGGCCGGAAAGTGATATTTGCTATTTTTAAACCCCTGACGCAAAAAGAGGAGCATCATAAGTTTGTGTCTGTTTGTTTGTGTCTGTGTGTTTGTGTGTTTGTTTGTGTGTATGTGTGTCTGCGGCACCGTAGCTCTTAAACGGGTGAACCGACTTGGATGAGGTTTTTTTTATTTGAAAGCATGTTTTCTAGCGGTGGTTCTTAGAAATGTTTTATCGAAATCGGTTCAGCCGCTTTTGTGTCGGGAGTTCTTTAATTTTTTAATTAAAAAATTTATCTCCATACATCTTAATACCCTGGATGAGATATTGGTCTAATATACCTAATAAGTATACCTACTCGTATTGCATATACTGTGCCGGTATGAAATTAAACTTGTTAAACTACCGTTAATAAATTAATGCACAGCAATTTGCAGCTTACTTCAGAGCGCCACGGCTATAATGCAAATACGATACCTATCTGTTTTGCAGAAATAAATATCCTATATAATGCTTTTAATATTTATCAAAAAATAATCGGGTCGAATCGCTATTAAAAAACGTATTAAACCTCTTATACTTATTATAAGGTAGTAGTAATAATATCGGTAAGACATTTGAGCATATTTTAATATAAGTAAAAAATACCCCGACTTAAATAATTCAAAAGAACTTAAATTAAATCTTATATGTAAACCTACATATATAAAACAAAGTTGGGTTAGTTACATCATATATAACTCAAGAACGGCTGAACCGATTTCTATGATCTTTGATTTGTTGGATTTGTCTCCGCCCCGAATAGCAGAATAACTATTAAAACATCAGAAAAATTCACGAAAATTTTTTTATAGGGGCTAACGCTGGTTAATAACTATTTATATCTATTTAAAACGTATCTAGGGACGATCCCGAGCGAAGCGACGGTGAGCTGTTTGTTTAATACCTTATACATATAAATAAATATTATGTTGGTTTACTGCGATTTAATATACCTAAGGCGTGTATCTGTATAAGGCAGTGGTAGCCCAGTGGTAACGCGCTCGCTTGGCAAACCGAGTGAAGCGGGTTCAAATCCCGGGTCTCGCACCTCTGATATTTTCATGTGCGAATCATTTCTAACATGATTACCACTTGCCTTACGGTGAAGGAAAACATCGTGAGGAAACCTGCATGTCTGAGAGAACCTAGCAAGTTTTCGAAATACATGTGAAGTCCGCCAACCCGCACTTGGCCAGCGTGGTGGACTATGGCCTGATCCCCCTCGTATTGAAGGGAGGCTCGTGCCCAGCAGTGGGACGTTAAAAAGGGCTGAATACAAGGCGTGTATCTATAATTCTCTTAGAAATAGGTACACAAAGATAAATGAAATGAGTTATGCAGCCTCAAAATACGTACCAACACAGTAAATTAGTACAGCTATTGTACTAATTAGGTACAATGGCTACGATAGGAATGCATAATGCATTACTCGGCAATTCCATTTGCAATCTGTTATAACCATACCTATTTTACATAACAACAATTTGCTTATGACTTCACACGGCTAATTAACCATAATTGTACTGTGGCCATACTGTGCGTACAAAAAATAATATTATTAGATACCTATAGGTAGGTATAGGACGTGGTAGGCGGTAGTCCAGTGGTAACGCGCTCGCTTGGATAACCAAGTGAAGAAGTTTCAAACCGTAGGTCTAGCACCTCATATATTTTTATGTGATAAATCATTTTCAAAATCATAGCCACTTGGTTTACGATGAAGTAAAACAACCTTCATGCCTGTAGAACCTAGCAAGTTTTTAAAGGATATGTCAACTCACAATTTATTGATCTGCCAACCCCCACTTGACCGACGTGGTGAACTACATCCTGATACCTTTCGCATTCGTCTTTTCAAGAAAGACCCGTGGACTCATTAGGACGTTATGAAGGTCTGAATGACCTAATTAATTTTTAAGATCAAAGCAACAAGTGCCAATGATAAACAAAGATGCAATTCAAATATTCGATTCAAAAATAAGTATACCTACTTCTTCTGGAATTCTACGCTCTATACTTTCAATTAATAATTAACGATTTCAAGTAGGTGCGATGGCCATTTTTCTAACATTTTCTTCATACCTCTTTTAAATAGGCATATCTATTAAAATGCTCAAACAAGCCTTTACATTTGATATAGGTGCCTATTAAGTAATGTACGAGATATTTTCTTAGTATGGACTTAAAAGTATTAAGTGTTTGATAAACTGACATATTGCTACGTGAGTGATGCCTACTATAAAATTCCAGTTTCCCTACCTTTTGAAGAAGTGAGCATAAAACATCCGCCAAAAAATATCAATATGCATACCTTAAATTGGCGCTTCTCTATTTCACTTTATAGTAAAAAATTTAATAACAAAAAGATATAGAGATAGAATTTCCTACTTTGTTCTTTTATTGAAAGATACTACTAATTACTGAAAGAAAATAAAAGCCAAAGCTCAAAAAGTTTTCCTCCGAGTTTCGTAACTCTTTTAAATTTTTACTAGTAATCATTTACTAAATATCGTATTTTGGTCTATTTTTCTTGCCAGTACCTAATCTTTGTTCCACCCACCATGTAGGCTAGATAGAGTGACCTCTGTAGAAATATAGGCTGCAGACAATTGTTGAAAATTGGAAAAGATGCAATCGTTTTTTTTAAAGATAAATTTGATTGTCATATTTATAATATGTATGTATTTAAAGTTATATAATATGTAGTGTATCAACTATCTGGTATCCATAACACAAGCTTTGTGCTTACCATGGAATTAGATGGTGCTGTGTGTTAATGTCACAACATAGGTATTTATTTATTATTATTTTATTTTTGCTGCACACATATACGTATCAATATTATGTAAAAGCTAAATTAAAACTGGACTATGGCCTAGTCCTCCTTCGTTTTGACGGGGAACCTGTGCCCAGCAGTGGGACGTTGAAAAAGGCTGAATACAAATTTGTACACACAGTACATCTAATAACCTTTTTTAAAAAAACGTTTCTAAGTTAAAAAAAGTAGATTTCTAGGTAATGAAAATTTTATTTCAATCTAAAGTAATAAGCGACATATTGCCTATTTATTACTTAATTGTACTTATTACTGCATGTATTTATTACCATAGATTTGTACTTACCTAGTAAATTCGCAACTTATTTAACAATATTCTGTTTTGTAATAGACATTAGTTCTGTTCGATTTATTAGTTTTCATGAATTTTCCGAATAAGTACTGTTGATAATTTACCTACCTATAAAATGTAGGTACTAAATGCATAGAGTCAGAAGCTTAATAGGTACCTACTGTATATAAATACTAATTTAATAAATATATCTATCTCATAATATCAATGGGTATTAATTTAATAAGTCAATTTTTTTATTCTCTTAACCTTTCTATCTTTCAACCACTCGGTTACGAATAACTTACATTATTATACACACATATCTATTTCTTGAATGAACAATTAATAAGATAATATCTATATTCATTTTTTTGTAAACCAACACATAGATAAGTACGTACGTATCTATCAATATAACCCAAGGACTAATAAATTGAACATGATATAAAATAATTGAAAAGAAAGACTTGACAAATTATAAATTAAAAAAAATATATAAAGTGTGAAAGAGAAGAAAGTGCAATGTGGAATCCAAACTTAAATAACAGGCAAATGGAAAAGCGCGTGGTAGTAGGGCGAGTACGGCCAACTTGGGCTAGGAACCTTCCAGAAACAAGAGAAGATGACGACAAGAGTGAACAGGAGGGTGTCATGCCTCACAGCGATCCTCCCTCGCCCACTGAACAATGGGAACAACAAGGAAAACAGGAGGAGAAATATGATGTTTTTGGGAAGGCAAGTTGTCATACTCCAATTTATTAATTTATAACTGATTTATTATAATTGATAGAAAATATAGTATATGTATCTATTTGCATTCTGACATAAAGATTAATAAAGCTTTTTCTAATATTTTCAACAATTATAGAGTATAAGGTACATATTTCTAAGAGATATATTATTATGTACGTATATTTCTAGGTAATGCTGCTCGGAGATAGCGGTGTCGGAAAGACATGCATGCTCGTTCGCTTTCGGGACGGCACCTTCCTTGCCGGCAATTACATTTCCACCGTTGGAATTGACTTCCGGGTACACTTTTATGTCTACAACCTTAAATCTATAAAATAAGTCAATAAAAAGCAATACAATTCAATAACAATAAAGAACAATAAAAGGAATATTAATTTTTATTCGTGCTATATTAGTAAAAAAAAAACAATTAAATGGTCGTCAGGGGTTCCGAGTTCAAATGGGCCACTCACGGGTATACGCGGCTGGTTCGCGCTACGCTATTGGTGTTAAAGTTTGGTGCGCTTTTTTCCGTTCCCGCCCCCCAGCCATGACAGCTGTGATTGAATCGACTTCTCGACTGAGTGATTTATTGCCACGATGATTCTTTTTTGTTTATTTTTCAACTTCCATCTGTCAATTAAATATTATAAACGACTAGGGACTAATTATATTTGAGCTTAATAAGTTTCCAAATGGAATTAGTTAATAGCTAATATTACTTACAAATGTTTATTTAGTAATGGCATGTTTTATGAATAACTTTACAAATATATAGAAAAAAGTTACTAAGTAGTAGTAAACTTTTATTCCATATATGAATTTAGCGTTACAACTAACGCCATCTGTTGCAGAATAAAGTAGTGACTGTGGATGGTATAAAGGTGAAGCTTCAAATCTGGGACACCGCCGGACAAGAGCGCTTTCGTAGCGTAACACACGCATACTACAGAGACGCACATGGTAATAAGTAATAACTAATAAATTATAATAATTCTTACAGTATAATTCTTTTAAAGAAAATATAAAATATATAATCAATATTATACACCATAAAATAGTTTAAGTTTTATTAATTACTGTATTAATGAAACATCAGATAACTGATCTTACGAATATTATACTCGTAGCGACATCTCTGGACAGTATTAGAAAAAATATTGTTGGTTTAATATTAATATTAAAATGAACAATAGCCTATACAAATTATTATTACGTTAAACTTTGCTAAATGATAGGTATTAAGCATAATATAAAGAAATAAGATGGTCATTATAATTTGTAGAAATATCAAATAACTAATATTAACTCTTTTCTCAAATTAGAAAGAGCTGCCTCCAAATTTTAATCGTTTTTCGTTTTTGTTCTACTTGTAACTTCAAATAAACAATTATGTGCAGTACCCAGTTTAGGTGTCATCAAAATTTGTCGAGTTAGTCATTTGGTTTCATATTTCTTCATAGTAGGTACAGGGCTGCCACAAATGTTGGATACTCGATAGTCAACATATTGGTACAACATAAATTCAATTTGCTTCAGTATATTTCTGTGGGCTAGAGGATAGTGGTAACATTAAATACCTAGGTATATTTTTGAAGTGAAACCTACTTACAGGCAAGTTTGGATGGGAAGTAAATTCGTCATTCGCCGACAGTCTAAATACTCAGAGTGCCGATAGATGTCAAAACCAGATAAATTAAAGAGCTTTAATTTACAAATTTTAATTTAAGATCAAACAATTAATTTGAATTTCCAAAAATAAGAACTGTTTGTGTAGAACTGTTTGTGAAGTTTTAAGTTTTCACTTCTGTCGGCAGTCCTCGTGACTGCTTTTTTTAAATTTATTTAGGCAGCATAGTGTTTTTGGGAACATTTTTCTTATAGTCTAATTTCCTAAGGTGACTCATACTTAAGAAACTTGTTGGCTGGTTAGAAAATAATGACCTATTTATGGGGTAGCAATGAACAGAAGATATGCTTACTTACATAAGGATAACAGTGTTCTATTATTAAGAAATTGAATGTAATTTAAATAAAAACTTTTTAAAAAGAACCGACTTCCAGGCACTAAAATGTAAAAAATAACTAAACGGAGGTTTTCATTTAGGATAGATACCTAATCAGATATTTTCGAAGTCGGTGTCAGCCGATGCAAAACAAATCTAATATATTTCGATACGTAAAATATATATTTACCTATTAGATATTCATATCTTAAAATTTTGTAGGCTGGAGTAATAGGTGAACATACATAAAAAAAAGAAAAAAAAGATTCCGACGAATTGAGAACCTCCTCCTTTTTGGAAGTCGGTAAAAAATGAAAATTTAGTCTTGGGCAATTATTTATTATGTTAGAGAGTTAATTTAGATTCATCCTATCAGATCACAGAAAGAATAACTGCAGTTAAATTGACCAATTTTAATAATAGTTTTATATACATAAAATATACATGTAGATATTGTGTATCATATTATATACACGAATACTTTTATGTTAACAGCTCTCCTGCTTCTATACGATGTCACTAATAAAACTAGTTTTGACAACATACGAGCCTGGCTTGGTGAAATACGTGAATATGCTCAAGACGACGTCGTCATCATGCTACTAGGTAAAACTATGATAAATATTGTTTATAAGTTTATAATGTCAACTTAAAATTTACGTATGTCGATTACAAATAAAATTAAAAACATATGTCGTGCTACAATATAATTTGAATCAAATTAAATAAGCAACGGTATCGGTCCACAATTAAATGAAATCCACTTTCAATTATATAAAAGAAACATTAAGCCCCCAGCCCTCACCTATCCAGTATCATAAGTGGAGCGGCACAAATTCTCTTCCAGGAAACAAGTCGGACAGCGGGCTAGAGAGGGCCGTGAGGAGGGAGGAGGGGCAGCGTTTGGCGAGAGAGTACCAAGTCGCGTTCATGGAAACGTCAGCGAAAACCGGCCTCAACGTCGAGGCCGCGTTCGCTCACGTAGCACGCGCTCTCGTCGCGAAAGCTAATCCCGTCGACCCCTCGAGACTGGCCGTGCGCGCGCAACCGTCACAAGAGCAACGCTCCTCATGTCCGCCATGTTCGTAAATTCGCGCCAACTTTTCGAATTTCGAACACTCCGTGGACCAATTTGATTTGTATTTGTAATTGTGCGTTGGCGCGTTTGTTACAAGTTTTTAGAAAAAAAAATATTTATGACATAAATAGCACAATTATTATTTAAATAAGGCTGAGCCTGCACATTATTTTATTTTATAATATTTTATACTTTAATATTTCACAAAGCAATGTTATTTTAGTACTGGATCAAAATGATTAAATTGATAAAATTATTTTAAATGACAATTTTTGCACAACATTAATTATTGTTTAAACAATAATAATTAATTTATATAAAAAATCTCCCTAACTTCTTTTTATACCAGTAAGCTTTTGGTACCAGTCAAATGATATCAAAATTGCTTGTAAAAATATTGTTTTAATTGATAGTGTAAGTAGTGCTTAAAATTAAAAAAAATATTGTATCATAAATTAGCTACGTGTGAGGAGCCTGCAGCAAAAATATCATATCAGCTTCATCAGAATATAATATGTAATAATAAGGATAGTTTTTAATATGCGTGTCTAGAAAGAATAAAAAGCAATTAAAACATGCGCAAATATTTAGTTATCCTTTAAAGAAAGTTATTCATTAAATATATTTTGTGAAAATACTGACTTGTATTTAAATAAAAATTTACATATGTACATATTTCTTTTAATAAATCAAACGTCAATCTAACTTTTTGAAAACTTATAATATCCATTTATTTTATATCTTTAAATAAATAACCAAGTATACAAATATACACTAATACCTACTTATATTTCATGGGTTGCTTTGTAGAAAGTATATCATACAATAATTTAACCTTAGGATAATTTGTAAAACAATCTTTTCCTGTGATATTTTGAACATGTACCTATTATATCCTAAATAGGATATTTATATTCAAAAATTAAATTTTTCCTACCTTACATGATCAAACTTCATAATGCTTAATATTATTATTAAAGATACAGATGTTTATGTATGATTATTTTAAATACTATATATTCTAGTTGAACTAGAACTTGTATATAAAATAAGAGAAATCTAAATACACAGTATAGTATATCTTCTTATAAAATAATACTTAAATGTTATTAATATTATGACTGCATAAATTGATGTAATTACCTATGTACCTACCTTCTTGTTGTGGCATTAAATGTTGCTTGTGCGAAATAAAATTATGGAGACAAATGAAAAATGAGTTTAATTTGCTTTTATCATAAACCTTTAACACTTATACAACTAAAATATAACTTCTAAAATATTAAAACTTTTAAGCTTTTTCAATTATTAAGAAGCCTAGCTAAAGGAAAATTCCCATTTGTTATATTTTTTTATTACAAGGCAATAAAATTAAAAGAACAATTCGGTAAAGCTTATTTTTATATTTAATTCCTTAATCTACAACACTTACTTACCATATACATAAAGGAATATTTTTAGTCTGAACAGTTGAATAGGTATACAATATACTTACCTATTATACTTGTGTAACTACTTTTTTGTGCCATATTCTTTATGATTTTCCAATCCTCTTCAATTACAATATAATACTGTCATAGATTACATTAATAAATAGACTACGTTTTATCAGTTAGTATGGAATAGATAGACTATATATTATATAAAAATGATATGATGATTGTTGTGGGTTGTATTTAACGTGTTTTCCCTTGGGAATGAGATAATCTCCCGCGGTAAAAAATATCCTGTGTCACTTTCCAGCTCTACCAACTATCTCCACACAAAAACTCATGTCACTCTGTTTCGACGTGAAAGAAGGACAAACAAACAAACACATTTTTACATTTATAATATTAAAAAAATATGGATACATAATTAATTAGTAGTGTGGGGACTATGAGGTTTGCCGACTAGCCGACTAGTCAGTTGGAAAAAGGCCGACCAAGCGGCTGACTAGTCGGCTTAGCCAATCATTGCTTTCCGCGATGTTTTTCATGCTTTTTGTTTACTTTTCACTTTGTTATTTGCGTTTTTTTAAATAAATCAGTCAGTGAATTCTATAGCTAAGGCAGTTTGTATTATATTAAAAGTACCAGCAAAATTGAAATTGGGTCATGTCATACTTTCTTAGATTTACGCGAATATTTGAATTCGTTTGTAATGTTAAAATAACAGTTTTTTACTAAATGCATATGAAATTATATATGGTACTAATAAAATTAAAACATTTAAAAAAAAGTCTGTCTGTCTGTATGTTTGTTCCGACTAATCTCTAAAAAATGGTTGGAACGATTTTGACAGGACTTTCACTGGCAGATAGCTCATGTTATAAGGCGTAACTTATTTAAAAAAAAGGCCCATAAAATTTTGAACAAAATCGTCCCTAGGGACACAACCGAGCGTAGTTTTAAATAAAAAAAAAATTGGGATTTTTTTGCGGATTTATTTTTATTTTTGGTTCCCGACGTTTCGAATGCTTTACAGTGATCATGGTCAAATGGGAAAGACTAAGGTTTTAGACGTCTCAAAGGCATTATATAGTTGTTACAGAAAGTGCCTACCCAGTACCAATAAAATTACAAAATGAAATTAAATGAAAATAATATTTTTCCTTAATAATAATAATAATAACCTGACTTTCAAAAAAATAGTAATATGGATAAAGTAATGGGCCGACTAGTCGGTGGTTCTGGCCGACTAGTCGCTGACTATAAATATGGCCGGATAGTCGGGTTTCCCGACTAATCGGCCACTAGTCGGTACATCTCTAATAATTAGATGATAATTACATTTCGATACCTTAATTGGCAAACCAGCCAACTCCAAATTTCGTTAAAAAATATTTTTTGGTTCAGATTGCAGGCAACAGTAATCCAGTAGGATTATTTTAGTAGGATTCTACACTATTAAAAATTACAATGAATAGTATCTATCAACGGTATTTTAGTTTATTTAAAGTACCTAGTGTACAAAAAGTATTATAAAGTTTTATTAAGTGTCTCCTGAAGCTCGCTTGGAGTTAGCTGTTTTGCCAATTAAGGTATCGATTTAACAAAATAATAATAATAATTGTTTTTATTGGGAACAACAAAGGAACCATTTTTGTTAGTAACACCTTAGAAACTACACTTATACACTAGGGTTAGTAACAAATACAAAATGTTTTACTAAGAAAACTTTCATTTATGCAAAAAACTCGTATAAACATGAAAGACATTAATACAAATTTAAAATAATTATTATTTCATGTTATTCGTATCTTTTAAAATAATAAATCGAACACTTAACTCAATAAAACTTAAACTTTTTTAGGTATTACAGAATTAAAAACTCTTTCATCTATGCTAAAAACTCGTATACAGATGAAGGACATTAATACGAAATTAAAATAATAATTAATTTATGATATTCATATCTATAAAAATAATAAACGCTTTTTAATAAAACTTTTCATATTTAAGAGAAATGTACACGATTTTTAAATATCCCGCCATTTAGGTCTATACTGTCAAGATTGTCGACGTTTAAATCTGGCGCCATGTCTTTTTCGCTCTTAGAAAGAGATAGAACATATTCATCAGTTGCTAAAAACCTTTTCGGTTCGGATAAAAATGTTATAACAAATATTATTGTTTTCTATAAATGTTTTTTTATGTTTAGTTTTAGTGATATAATAACAAATGGAATCAAAAAACTTATAATCATTTGAATTATCTAAGATTTTGAAAAGAATATACGTTAAAATGAAACTGTACGAATTTGTCATGTTAATTTACATTTAAAAGAGGTTTAATTTTAAAATATTTTATTCGTTTATTGGTATATCTTATTTTTTTTTCATAAAACAGATTGAAATTCTAAATGCACAAATAAAGTATACATGTATCTTAAATATCACTTAGACGCTTATGATGACAGTGGTATTTACATTTAATTTTAACAATAACAATTTAATACGGAAAAATTACAAAAAAAGACAAAAAAATCGACTGAATGTAAAAGTGACTTATAAATGTGTAAAACTTTTTGAAGTGAAAACTTCTATAGGCAAGTTTTGGTGGGGAATAAATTCATGTAAGTCGTCATTGACATGGTCACGTGACGTGTTAACGGTAACACTCAGAGTGCCGATAGATGTCAAAAGCAGATAAATGTAAACAGTTTTAATTTACAAATTTTAATTTATGATCAAACAATTAATTTGAATTTATCTAAAAATAGCAACTATCTGCTTATAGTTTTAAGTTTTCACTTCTGTCGGCAGTCCTCATGATACGGCTTTTTTATTTTGTGACATTTTTATTAGATAAATCACAAAACTTGAATACACCACTCCGCGTAGTAAGGATTAAATTAAAATCCAAGATGCAACCTATCTGTGTACCTTTTGTCTATTTTTCTTACGTAGGAAACATATTAACGTAAATAATAAACTAACATACAAACATTTGCATGAGTTTATAATATTAAGTTCACTTTATAATACTATCAGAAATAATAATCTTGCTTTGAAATCATACATTTTTAAGCATATTTTACCTCATTATGTCATAACATTTGATCTTTTGATACTATATCTTTTCCCCTTTTTTTTGAAAGTAATATAAAAATACCCGTTAAATTTTAATTCCATACAAACTTCTTCTTAATAACTCAATATAATTTTTTGTAAAATTTTAAATATATATCAATATATTTAAAAATAAAATAAAACGTTAGATATAAATTTAATAAAAAGAAACAAGTTAATGTAATATTGAATGTAAACTAAGAAGAGAAGAATTTCATATATTTATTTGGCAATTAAATTATGTTAAGTATATTGTATCATTTATATACTTCATAATGTTATTGAAAAGTATCATTATATAATTTTTCAGTTCGTTAAAATTATTAATGATAATTATTCACTGTTGCTATTGCGGTTTATAATCTCTGGAATTTGTTATTTTTCGTCTGTATAAGGTTGGCAAGCCTGACGGCATATTACGCGCACATGCGCAGAACGACAGGTGGTCGGCGACTCGACCCAGCTATTCCGACCGAACATCGACTTCTCATGCTCATCATCAGCCGCTATCGTGTTCAAGCAAGAACGATATGCAGTACTTTGTGTTGAAGTGGTCGTGGTGACATGGCGTCTGTGTTTTAAATGTTTTAGAAGGTGTTAATAAGTTTAAAATTTTGTTTATTTACAATGAATGTGAATTATGACCGTGTTTGTAGACTGTGCTTGTCATCTCGATGCGAATTACTACCGATATTTCCTACCACCAGTTCGGATGACTCTGAACCTCCTGTCCTCGCTTCGAAAATCAAAGATTGCGTGTCAGTGCAGGTATGTAATAGGTTTATTATGTGTCAGAAAGGAGTTTTGAGTGAAAGTAGACCCTTGGTGTACGTGAGAACTCGTCATCCGGCTCATATAATGACAGGCAACGCTGCGTCTAGGTGAAGATGTCGTAAGAACGTCCACCATTTTGTAATGTTCCCCGGCTATCGCTTGAGTCGTGGCCGTGTCGCGTCGCATTTTGTGCAGCCGGCGAGGTATGGCTCGCGTGATGAGGGTCGTGTTTGGAATTATTCCCAGTGGTTTGGCCGGGAAGGGTCTACATATCATTAGATAGGCATGGCGTTGGACAGCGGGGGTATTGATTTATCGGACGACCAGACCAGTGCAGCTCGTCCCTCGCGAGCGCGGTGTGGCGTGAGTGCGCTGTAGGTGTGTGTGTGCCATATCGAGCGGTAACCCTCGAGGGGCTCGCTGGTTGCCACTCGACTCGCTTCTACTTATTCGGTCGAGAAGTAGGCACTCTGTCGCGCGGTTATACCTACGCCTACCTACTTAGTTTCTCCTCGCGCCATATCTATACAGTCATGAGGTGCGCTTTCGTCTCGTGTAGAGATGATACGCGCGCGTTTTCTGCTTCAGTAACGTGATTGTTGCGCATTATTTTTTCAGATAAGCGAAAATGACGACCTGCCAACTAATGTGTGCAGGAAATGCATGGACAATGTAAATAATTGGCACATTTTTAAAACAATATGTGAAAGGACACAAAACAAGTTACAGTCTCTGATTAATAAGGAGAGCAACCTACTAGAAGAGGTGGGCCTTTATAATATTATTAAATATCTTGATAGCCAGTTGTCAAATAATTTTCATCATTTGTTTTTTATGAATTTTCAGGTAAAAATAAAAAATGAACCATTATCAGATGAAGCTTATGATGATGGAGTGGTTATTGATGGATCATACCCTGACATTGAGGTATGCTGTGGCATTAACACATTTTAAATTGTTTGTAGAAAATAATAAAAAATTGATCATTAAGAATTTAAATGTTATTAATTACATAAAATGTTATAAAATTTATTAATAGTATACAGTGTATAGTTTTCAATAGGAATGACTTTGATTTCATGTCAAGGACATGTGCATAACACATGCCATGTCATCATTGTACACTAAGCATATAGCAATAATTGCACTTTCTTAGAATTTTATTTGTTTCTATTAGTTTAATAAATATAGATTACACTTTAAGTATTGATAATTATTTTTATAAATTATATTTATCAATTCATTATTTCAGAACAATGGGCCATCACATAAAGTGCAACCTGAAGGTCCACCAATATTGGCATCATTGGGACTCACACCGAGAAGTGATAAGGTAAAGATTAAGTACCCAAGTCTCTTATCGTTCAAATACTTACTACATACTGATATGCAACATTGATATTTAATATGACACTTTATATTTTATAAACTTTATTCAGGACAATGTGTGAGAATAGTTCAATTGAATTAATTTCATCCACAGAAATATGTAGATCCTCGGATGGACTGGCACCGTGTTCATGCAATCCTGGACATGGTCCAAGAAGATGAGGTCATAGATTCTCTACAGTCCATGGAAGAATGTGATGTCATACATCATTCAGATCATGACTCTGAATCAGAATCAGAGATGAATACTGACTCGCTAGAGGACTATACTGATTGCAAAAATGGATACATGTGCAAAAATAAGAAAATATTATCTAAAAATCCTAAATCGTCATCAGTTAATACAATTGCCAAGATAAAACAAGCTGTTAATTTAAGAAAACGAAACCTCATTACAACCAAACATTGTCCGCAGCCAAAATCAGCCTGGCAATTGCTTTTTACAGATGATCTCTTAGAACTGATTGTTAGTTCTACAAATGAAAAAATAACAAAGTATAGTAAGAAAGCATCAGATAAAACAAATGTTAATGAAATTAGAACATTAATTGGAGTACTGTATTATCATGGCATTATGCGACCTACACATCAGAAATTCAGTGACCTTTGGAACAATGAGTATGGAGCGCCGTGTGTTCGTAATTCAATGCAATTGGAGAGGTTTAAATTTCTTCTGAGAAACATAAGTTTTGATAATGAGGATGATGATAGTATTGTGCAGTTTGATGTTATGAAGCGTATGAGGAAATTGTTCGAGATATTCGCTTTGAATTGTCGTACGTCATTGGATGTTGGAAATTTAGTAGTTATAGATGAAGTTATTTTACCTGTTCACGGTCCTTGCCCTTTTCGATACAATATTAAAAAGAAAAAATTGAAAAGTGGTCTCAAGTTGGTCCTCCTAATAGATCCAGTGAATTTCTATGTAACAAATTTAGATGTAATAACTGATCCATATTTTGGTTGTGATGAAATTGCATTAAAGTTGGTGCAACATTTAGCTGGAACTGGCCGGACTGTTGTTATGGACAGCTGGTTTACATCAGACTCGCTTATTAAAAAACTCAAAGATGAATACAAACTAAGCAGTATTGGAGCTATTAATCCTAAAGATGAATTAGTGCCGCCAATATTTTTGTCAAAATATAGAAGTAAAAAGATATTTATAAATGGCTTTTTAGACAGTGATACTTCTCTCACCTCATATGTGAATCATAATTCTAAAGTTATCAATGTCCTAACAAATGATCCAAATTACTACAAAAAGGGACATACCAGTCACAATTCAGTGGTTTCTTTATACAAGAAATATCAATCTGCAGTAGAAGTGTTAGATGTTTTAATGCATTATTACACAACTATGCAACATAGTAATGATTGGACTCTCACATTATTTTTTATGCTTCTCAATATAGCATCAGTCAATGCCCAAGTGATATGGAGTTCCGAGAACACAAACACTGTTGTACAACGTCGAATTTTTATAAGGGAGCTCGCAATTAGTTTGATGGAAAATGAAAAATTGATACCGTCTTTTAGTAATATTGATGTTAAACGTATAAAATTTTCTACTTTTGAACATGTAACACAATTTTATAAGAACAGGCGTAGGTGTAAGTACTGTTTTAGGACAAAGAAAATCGACCGTAGAACAAAACAGTTTTGCCTTAAATGTGGTACATTTATATGTAAAGAGCATACTGTGACTATTTGTACTGTTTGTGTAGCTCCTTAAAATTTTTAATATAAACGACTTAAAAAGTTCATTTTGTTTCTAAAATAATTAATATTCAGTTGATAGTGTCATATTAAATATCTATGTTAGTTGTTTTTTCTAATTAGAATTCGAACTCACAAAACTTTTTGTTAATCATGAATATATTAATTTTTAATACCATTTGATTATATTTCATAGATCTTTTTATTTTTATGTTGATTGGGCAGCTAATAAAACATCCTTAAACTTGACTTACTTACCTTTTTATATTTAATCTATACAGATAAATAAAATTGAAGTGTCTGTTTGTAATTTCAAAATAACTGCTTTTTACTAAATACATATGAAAGTATATATGGTGCTTTTAAGAACAAAAACATTTTTTTAAATTTTTATCTGTCTGTCTGTTTCGGCTAATGTCCAAAACGGCTGGACCGATTTTGATGCGACTTTCACTGGCAGATAGCTAATGTTAGAAGGAATAACTTGGCTACTTTCTTTGGTAAAGTTTCATCAAAATGTGTTTAAGTAGTTTTTGCGTGAAAGAGTACCAAACTTGCATCCATACATCCTTACAGCCTCACAAACTTTCTCGTTTATAATATTAGTAGTAAAATTCATATGATATTTTCTGCATCCATGAGTGCATCTATAATAATTTAATTCAAAAGATAAATTCAAAACTTCTAATTATTTATGGAATTAGAGAGACCTTAGTTTTTGTTTAGATTTGTGTTCTTTATCATTTTTGTTAACCTCAATATTTTCCTTAATGATAAGCCCGTTATTATGTTTCATGATTCTGAATAGGATTTTTGTTTTTAATTCTTATATTTAAAATAATGACTATTAAGAGCCCACAAATTATATTTATTATTTAAAATTTATTTTATTAATACTATATCTATGTTGAGTTAATATATTTAATTTAATTTTCAACTGATAAAAGATCAATTTTACCAAAATACTGTAGGTATGTTATGGTTATGGTAGAGTTATGTTTTTTTTTCATGTGTATATTAATAAAATAAAGGAAAAATATTAAATAATTCTATAATAATATAATAAATAATAATCTCTTAAATAAAAAAATGAATTATTATTCTTTTATGTAAAGTTTACGTTTAACATAAACATACAATTTGATAATTTTCTTCTTTAATAATTATTATTATAGGCATTAGTAATAACTACATTATGGCATTTTTTTAAAGACTAGTTAATAGTTAAACTAGTGGTTCCTAATTTTTTTGGCCATGAAAGTCTAATTGATCAAAATTTTTTTAACGGATCCCCATTTTGATAACTAAGCTGATGGTGTTGTTGTTAGAATAATTTCTTGTTTGACTTGAAAGGAATCGTAAATGGAAAATATTAATATTTATCATAATATTTATTGTACCAATAATATAAACTAACTATTTAAATACACTAATGTCATGAATGAAATTTTTTCACATATTTTTTTATAATAGGAAAATTGAATTTTATATTCTAAAACGTTTTATTTAACTCTTGGACGAAACTGACGACTTCTGTGACCCGTCCACGGATTGCACCAGTGTATATTTGATAAGGCTAAGATGTTAAAATAGTTATAATAATAATTAAAATCCTTTATTAAAATATAATTGTATTGAAATACAATATTAAACCTCGAATGAATATACTCTTTTCAGGGCATGGAAAGCGAGAAAGATGAAGATTATGAAGATGAAGAGGAACAAGAACTCTTAGAGCCTCACTCGTTTTCAAATGTTCCAAATATGCCTGAAGTTTCCATTACCGTGATGCGTCCGTCTGGAGAAACACTTCACGCTCGCCAAGGTATACAACAACTGGCCTCCAAGGACTGCCTAGTTTGTGGTAGATCTTACAGATATTCCCATAACGCAAGAAGACATGAACTCACAGCACACGGCTTCGATAGATACACAAATAAGATTACAAATTTAAGATCTCGTGCCCACATGCAACCTAAGTTTAGACCTAACCCGTTCAACCCGAAAGCACGCCTTATGCCAAATCCGATCAGCCACAAAATGCAATACCATCACACCAAGTCAATGCCAAACAAAATGATACCACACAAAGTTATAGCGCAACCAAAACCCATACCGATTAGATCCTCAAAAACTCCCCAGAATAATTTACCATACCCTCTTCGGATCAAAGCTTTAAAAGACTTGCAAATAAAGAAAAAGGAACCTCAAATTTTGAAAACTCTTCTAACGTCTAAACCAGAAGTTTTGGTTTCCGAACCTGAGATAATAAATTCGGGCCCTGAAAGTCCGGAAACGTTGATATCTGAACCAGAAATAGCATCTTTCCAAGTGGAGACTATTCTATCGGAGCCAGATACTTTTGTCAATACTAATCAGGAAGATGATGACGACGAAAATAATCATGGGCCAAACTATGATACTGTAGATATGGATTCTGAGAATGAAATAGAAATAGCCCGTCAGCAAGAGAATGATGGAGAAGTTGAGGAGAATCCCGCAGAAGTTGATGGAGAAGATAATACTCAAGATGAAAACAATATAGAAGAAAATCATGACGATAATGAAAAACATAATCATGAAGACAATGGGGAGAGTCGAGATGTCGATATGGATAACAATATAGATAACAATATAGATGGAGACGCTGATGATGACAACGCCAAAGAAAATGATTATGAGAATGAAAAAGACAATGAAATTATGAATCATGAAGAAAATGAAGAAGATGATGACTTACCTCCTATGAGTATTGCCCCTGTCGTCGAGATAAACGAGGATTTGCAGACTAACTCGTATAATAGTGACGGTAACGAGGAAGAATTAGACGAAACTGTTGATCCCAATGATACAGTCGATGGTGACGGTGAAGGAGAAGGTGATGGTGAAGGTGAAGGAGAAGGCGATGGTGATGAAGTAAAAGATCTTGATCCTAACAAAGTATACGTCACTAAAACACAACGAGATTTTATACTCAAGTATCGTGACATCATCGAACAAATAAACACGAAGCGTTGTTTGTGCTGTCACAAAGAACATCCGCGTAGAAAGGCCGTCATTCAACATTTGCAAAAGAACGGCCATAAAGTTCCTAAACACACGTGCTATAATTGCGTAGTCACGTTTGGACACATTGGAGCCTTGCTCAGCCACATGAGATCTAACACGTGCACAGATCTGTGGAAAATTATTTATAACGAAAATGGAATTACAGATGATATAGTATTGGAAGATGAACCCAAAGATTCCAAAGTTCAATATAAAGATATACTTAACGCTAGATCATATGCATGCAAATTGTGCCCAGCCAAGTTTCAACTAAAGCAATTCATTATGAAACATGTCCTTGACGTGCACGAGGATGGCCAATCTCGAGTTCCCCACTCGTGTGTGCACTGTGGGTTACGCTTCAAAGATAAAAACTTCGGGAAAAGGCATATTCGTAATGGAGATTGTACCGTGTACATCTCTTGCGATTTATGTTCTGAAAAGTTTTTGAACTTACAAGATTTTAGCGATCATGCAATAGCAGTACATGCGGGTAGCTTCGATCCCGACAACCAGAATAAGTGTGTCGACGGCCGACCCACAGATTGTCCCATATGTGGAAAGAAGAACACTAGTTACCCGAATTTGGTGAAACATTTGAAATGTATTCACAATGAGGAAAAGCCTCACCACTGCCAACATTGCGAAGCCAAATTCGAGCAAACTGCTGATCTTAACAAGCACATTTATATGGAACATTCTGATAGGACGCTAGGTATGCAGTCTTCTGAGCCCGACATGTCGCTTGTTAAAGAAGAAGCTGAAGAGTACCATTACTCGTGTACGGAATGCAATTCAATTTTCGAGACTGTCGATGCGTGGACGGACCATCAGGTCGCTGAACATAATCAAGTGGCCCACCATTGTGATCAGTGCGAAAAGAAATTCTTACGCCCATCAGAACTTGCAGAGCATAAAAATACACATCTAAGAGTTAAATTCTATCCGTGTAGTATGTGTTCAAACTCATACAGCACGCCGCAAAAGTTATCAGAACACGTTCAACAGGTTCATCCTGGTGCAGGGAAAACGCCTGGTGATACAGAATTTTTCTGCGAAATTTGTGTAAGGTCATTTAAAAGTCGACAAGCTTATTCTAACCATATGCGTATTCATGCAAAAGTGCCTACAACTAATAGAAAGCCTGGCGAAACTAAAGGATTTGCGCCGCAAATTATAGGGAAACCCATACGCCAGTTTTCTATGCAACCCGGATTTAGTCCATACGTTCCAAACGCACCATATTGCTGTGATATTTGCGGTAAAGGATTCATGCACAAGAAAAATATATGGAAGCACAAAAAGGTCCTACACGCTGACCTTCTTGCTGACAGAAATGACAGTGAAGAGAACACAATGCAGGCGTCTACTGAAGAAGACGATTATAATGTTGATGAAAACGGCGCTATCTTGTCAACTCCGCAATTCAACAGTTTTAATTTCACTAATTTATCGAGTAACATGCAACAAAGTTCCCAAGATGCTTTACCATACTCTTGCGAATTGTGTTACAAAAGATTCCCGTTAAGGACAAGCCTGTGGAAACACAAACGTGCCAAACATGGAATCATTAACGCGAGTGCTGGCAGTAGCTCTGAAACTCAAACGCAACCGCAAGGCGAAGGTTCCAGATCCAGTTGCACCATATGTAAAATATCATTCACAGACAAAAAATCATATTACCGTCACAGAAAAAATGTTCACAAATCGTCTGTACAGATGTGTAAAATTTGTGGAAAACCACTGAACTCGACGTTAGAGCTTTACGAGCATCTTAAAGCAGCGCATGCTCGGGAACTACTAGGCTATGATGCAAACCAAGGATCAAGTAAATCTCAAGATGTAAGCCAAGATATGGACGCAGAATATGACGGCGACCAGGACTCTGTAGATCCGAGTATCGACTACCAGGCGCGATACCCTTGCGATGCTTGTGGAAAGCAATTTGTAGGACTACTAGCCTTGCAAAACCATCAATGTGTTAACCAAATTCAAAGCCAACCTCAAACTTTCGATTGCGAAATATGCCATAAGAGCTACACATCTATTGCTGCTCTCAAGAGCCACCGTGGGTGGCATTTACGCTCGCCCGATGGCAAGGCCGCAGCGAACAACACTGGGCTATGGATGCCTCAGAATAAAGTTACGAGCAAAGTGAGCAAACACGAAGTAGTCGACATTGTTCCAAATACCCGTGCATCGTCTACTCCAGCTGCCTTGGCTAAAAGACGACTACCACCCGAAGTAGAAGTGACCGTAGTAAATCCTAACAAGAAACTACGGTCAGACGATTCTATAGAAATGGACCATCAAAATAATTTATCTGGCGGTGCCGAAGACCGGTACTGCAATCTCTGCGATAAAGAATTCACTAAGCGGGCGGCGTATCAGCGTCACATGGATGAGGTTCATCAACCGAATTCTGTGTTCTGTCCTGTTTGCGATAAGTCGTTTACTCGAAAATCCACCTTGATTGTGCATATGAAGAAACATTACGAGGGCGGAGAAGGAAGTTCTGGGACCCAAATTGATGATGATGCGCACGCTTGTGAAGTTTGCGGCGCGCAGTTTGATAGTCTGAAAGCTTTGAATTCCCACCGAGCGATGGAGCATGGCGAAGATTCCGGGGAGTCGGAAGACGATGGCGGTACAATAGCACCTCCAGGGGAGTTCACTTGTGCACAATGTGGAGATGGCGTAGCAACCCCACGCGATCTTATAGCTCATCGAACCATGCACGCGACCCCTACTAAATTCTTTTGCAACATATGCAAGGTTTACTTCGCGAGAGCACTCGATCTATCCTCCCACACTCGAGCGAGACACTCGGATAACGAAAAAGTTTATTTCCCCTGCGCCATGTGCGACCGGTTTTATATGAATAAGAAGAGTTTACAAAGACACATCGAAATGTCCCACTGATCTATAGTTCTAACAGAACCCCAACCAAAATGATATTTAGGGACTGAAAGTTTCTTACTCAGTGGTCTAAGTGATATTAAAGTGTCATTTTCTATTGTAAATACTGGTAATTGTTCCGATTGCCCATTTTCATGGTGGTATATGTGTTTTATTACTTTACTTATTTCGTCATTCCTCGGCTGCCTACCGGCGAGTAGAATTTTTATTCATTTTCTTGCTATTTTAAGTCTTGCTCACTTTTGTTATTTATTTTATAAATCCATTATATGTAATTGATATGTCGGCGTTTTTGTTTGTGTCTTGCTGGCGATTAAACGAATAGGTTAGGTATTATAATTATTGATAACGCATCAGCAAATAAGTGAATTACTATATATTTTGTTTATCGGAATTGGGCCAAAATGTTGATCATAGTCAGTACCCGTGACAACGGTGTAAACTATTTATATGTAAGTATGACTTATAGTTTGCGTAAAGCGTCGGTACTTTGTTTAGTCTTAAATTCAATTCGGTTTTACTTTAGACTGTAAATATCATAATGATTATTTAGGAATTTGATTTTTTTCAATTGAGGAAGCGCGTCTGATTAAGTTTCATTAAAATGTACTGATTATTTTATAGTAATTTCAAATGTATATTTTATACAAACCACATTAACCACTAAGGGCATATCTCCTCATCTATGGTCTAGTGGCCTATGTATGTTTTTGTGCATTTTTTATATTGTTTTTTTTTTATTTACGGAAGTGTAATAATATACGTCTTTAAACAATCACCCTCTAATAGTGCCAAATATTTGGTTAATTTAGCATAAGTATTGACACTGAATAACTAAAAATGCATTTATTATGTCTTGATAACAATAATGGAGATGGAGTTTTTGTGTACAAATATATATGGAAATGTCGAATTTGTATAGGGATTATATTTTAACTCGGAAACAATCAGCGGTTAGGAATGTTATATAAAATAATGAAACATATTTTAAAATCATATTATATGATTTATTTTTTTCATTAATGAATTGCATTTTATCAACGACACATTCGAAAAAGTGTCAGTATTTTATAATATCTTGCAAAGAAAAGCATCTATACTAATTTCGGCATTATTTGATTTTATCTTGCGTCCGAATAATTTATACTGCTACACTGAGAATATTTATAATGAATGTTTTGTAAACGGTCCTGATAATAAAAATATAATGACAATGTTTTAAAATCAAATCGTTTATATTTAAAACTTAGTAGGTACATATATTATATAAATCCTAATTTTGTGTTAAATATATGATAAAAAAAATGTGAATGAATAATACACCACTTAAAATGTCTTGATCCTGTAAATTTTGTAATATGTACATTAAAAAAATCCTTGTAAATATAACATATTATATAGTTCAGTCCGTTAGCGCAAAAATGAACTAACTCGCATTTTTCAAATGATTGAATACTTGATAGTATAAAAATGTTTTTTTTCTTCGTTGCGTATAACGTCATAAACGTTGTATTTGCATATTATTATTTATTTTTCCGTCTATTAACATATTAATATACGATACAAATATCTTCTTATAATAAAGTAAGGCCACTTTTGCGCTAATAGGACATGTTTCAAAGTGCCGTTTTAATATAAATTATGAAAAGTGAAATATATTCAAGATTTAACATTCATCTTTAATGTGCCGTTTTTACATGATTCTTAAAATCGAATTTTTCAAAGTGCTTGGAAATATTGCTCGATATTTTTTTTTATTCTTTTTTTTATTAAATAAGCAAATTATTGAAAACGAGTGTATTAAATACATGTATATGTCCATAGATGAGGTTTATTTTTGTCATCTTTGTGGTTTCAATAAAGTGACTTAATAATTTTTGGTGTTTTATTTTTTATTCTTAATATTAAATTAAAAAAATATATGTATACTTACATACCACGTGAAAAGTTTTTCCCAATAAATAAAAAATGCTACTTTCTTAAATGATTTGATTTAAGATATAACTTAAATAGGTAATTCTTATTTTAAAGGATTTCAACAAATTTTGTTTTTGCCAGGAAAGCAGCAATTCTTTAGAAGATTGAGACATGTTGACCTTACAATATAAAAACATTAACTTACGTATAGCATAAAGAAGATAAAGTTTTTTAATTTAAGGTTAGCCGAATATAAGATAACTTGTATGTAAAACCTAGCCAAGTCAAATCTTGGATTTCAATTTATCCTAAGTTATCTGCTCTGTCTAAATAATTCGACTATTCAAATTTAAGTTCTATTTTAAATAGCAAACACTTGTAGCAGAAAAAAAACCGAAAAAAAAAATGTTTTTAATTTATTGTAGAATGTTGTACGTTCTTATGAAAAAATTAGGATTATCTACTATAGAACTTGGCACCCATTTAAATCTCAATGCTTTTGTCGGTGAAGTGAACAACCACGCTTATTCTTAATATTGAACTTGGCTCCCATTTTCACATTTATATTTTTGATGAGATATCATGAGCTGTTATTGTAAAGAAACTATTATTATTCATAATTCAAAGTGACATGTAAATGCAACTTTTTTTTCATAATTATGCGACTATTCGTTAGTGGATAAAGCGAACAGGAAAATGTTATTTAATCATCATGGAACCTTTTCTCCTGAGAAAGAAAAAATGTATACACACGATAAATTTCAACTTTCTAGGTCATCTGGAACTGGGTTAGCTCAATAATAGATAAATAATTGTTTGATGTGACTATTACGTAGGAACAGTTCAGAAGGAAAAAGGTTTAAAAACAGACAAACAGATAGATTGCACAAAACATTTTAATATAAACTTAAAAAGTCGTACAACAATATGAAAAATTATTATTGACTAATTATATCCGCGGACAGGAGAACCGCTTAACTATATTATGCAAATATACTATCTTTAACACTTCCATCGAATATATCTTACAAAAGAAAGAAAAATAAAAAGTATCTTTATTATTAAAAAATCTCGTTACGCTAAATTGTATTATATTAGACTTATATTATAGATTTTATCTACAAAATACTGTAGCGTTTTAGCCAGTTTTTCAATCGAGCTCCTATTATTTTATTACATTATGTAATTTAATAATAATAGGGTATTAATAAAGTACATATTAAAGGTACTGAAATTATACAGCTAGACTTAATCTAAATCAAAATATAAAAATAGTAAAAAAATAGTTGCACATTTCCGTATACAACTTGTCATTGTTGTGCATCGAGAGTGTGGGCCCACACGGGGTGCATTTTATTAATAATTTTATATAACATTAAGATTCTAATATATTTGAACGTAGTTATCCTTACATTTAGTAAATGTATCAAATGTACGGATTCGTTTATCTAGTTCTAGTGTTGTACACCGTGTGGGCCTACATTTGTGACGAGTATTGTTGCCAGGTCCGATTCGGGAAAGAAAGTCGAAAAAGCGGTAGATGAGCTTCTAAGTCGCGACTTAAAAATTATAGATTAGGTTTTTACTTGTGCTGTTTTATCTCAAATTCGTATCAAAAGTTGAGAAGCACGCGTAATAAAATATCTCCGTGCGTTGTTTAAATTGTGTACATATTTGTTATCGGGACGTCCCTCGTAAATCGGGACACCTGGCAACACTGGCCACGTATACGTGTGACGTGTGATGTGAAACATCTGACGGCAGACGAGTGTTGCAACCAACGACAAGCTGCTTACCAGCATAAGCACAGTTTTACCTATCGCTAACATCGACCTCGATTGAAACACTGAACTCAATTGCTAAGTGAAATATAAAAAAGATAAATAACACATAGTATTTATTTCCATGAATTTGCATGCACCCGTTAGTTTATGAATTGAGAAATATTTTTTTTCTATCATTTATCCATATCCATGTATCCTTTTATAACAATATTATATAAATTTACCATACAGACTAAGACCGGCAGCTGCGTCGCAGTCGACCGGCAATGTACACGAGGACTAATATCTTCTTAAAAAAATACTGTTAGATTGAAACGTAGCTAATCCTATAATATTTATGTATATTATAATTATAAGGGTACAATCGTACAAGTGATGATTACACTAGGTGAGATCTCCGACGCCTTCGGGCGGCCCGCCGCGCCGTCCGACCGCGTCCGACCGGATATGCAAACGTTTATTACATACGAGTAAGATATAGATACATATCAGTATATACGTACGCTATATACTTAGAAAGTATGAATTTATTTCTCAATATTAAAAATAAGTAATTTCTTTATTGGCCTTTCGTATCCACGTGAAAAATTAGACATTCGCGTACGAATATATATCATATGTATACATATTTAAATATCATTATTTATTTAGATCGGAGGACGTATGTATACAGGCTCGCTCTAGAAGGTACGTCGTCGTAAGCGCACGCGGCCTCTCGGCCCTTCACTCCCTTAAACACTACGAATATTATATCGATATCGAACGAAGACATCAAAAACTCGACTCGGCTTTAAATAGTACGAAAATAAACAGCCGGCGAGTCGCGCGGCCGGTATCGCTCCTATCGATAAATTTACACATCGACGTAACGAACGAGAATACAAAAAGTTATGGAAAATCGTACGGATATCACAAGCGGCGGGCGGCGCGGGACGCCCCCGCGGAAAATAAAAAAATAAATCGCGGCGCGCGTCTCTCTCGTAAAAAAGTAAAGACTCTATGAGCGGTGCGCGCGGGGCGGGCGGGCGGCTCAGTTGGCGAGCAGGAGGTGGGCGGGCGTGTCGCGCCGCGCCATGAAGTACGCCGCGGGGTCCGTCGCCGGCGACAGCGCGCGCGCCGCTAACTGTTGTTGCACAGCACGTTGCTTTATATAGTTGCTGAACTCGGTGGGCGACATGCGGTTGGCGCGTTTGCTGCTGGTCTTCAGCTTGGTGCTGCCGAACTTGGTTTGCGCGAAGGTCGCGGTTGTGAAGGTTAGCGGCTGCGCGCGGAAAGGAGGCCCCGGAGAGAAGGCCGCGGGCGCGGGCGGTGAGGGCGCCGCCACCGGCTCTACCGGCCGGAAACACTGCGCCTCCGGGTTAAACGCACGGGTTACCTGCAACGCAATCATGACTAGATTAATAAAATTATAAATCCACTAGGTGACTAAAAATAGCCTATATGTTACTCTGGGTCATAGTCTATTTGTTTACAAAATTTTATCCAAATCCATCGAGCCATTTTAGCGTAAAGGAGTATTAAACATACATACACGTATACAAACTTTCGCTTTTATAATAGTAGTTTCATTAAATGTTAATTTCATATTAAAGTAGGTAATGATGTGAAAAACGATAAGCTTAACTTGTCATCCACGATATTTTAGTATTTGGATGAAAACTTTTATTTACATTGTAACATCAATGAATCTCTAAAATCTTTACTGCACGTGATGCAAATGATAAAACACGTCATTCACACGTGATAAAAAGTGAATGGTAAAAATATATACCTCTCTGTCGGTCCTCTCGTCGGCCGCCCGTTCGTCGCTGCTGAACAGAACCTTTACTGCACCCTTCTCACCAATACGGTATGATACTTCGCCTTAAATAAACAAAATATCCAATAAGTCTTTTAGGTGTGCAGTTTATCCACTATATCTCTATACTATGTATATATAAATATAATGTCTTTTATCAGTAGTTCTAAGATATGAAACAGATACTCCAAATTATAATCTATCTGCGTACTTTTCATCAAAATACGTCCAGCCGTTTGAGCGTGAAGAAGTAAGAAACATTAGCACACTCATACTTTCGCTTTTTATAATAGAAGTGTACATTTGTATTCAGCCCTTTTTAACGTCCCACTGTTGGACACGGGCCTCCCTTCAGTACGAGGGGAATCAGGCCATAGTCCACCACGCTGGCCAAGTGCGGGTTGGCGGACTTCACATGTCTTTCGAAAGCTTGCTAGGTTCTCTCAGACATGCAGGTTTCCTCACGATGTTTTCCTTCACCGTGGGACAAGTGGTAATGGTGTTAGAAATGATTCGCACGTGAAAATATTAGAGGTGCGAGACCCGGGATTTGATCCCGCTTCACTCGGTTTCCCAAGCGAGCGCGTTACCACTGGGCTACCACTGCCTGCTAGTGTACATTTACCTACACATTATTCTTTACCCAAATCATTACAATAATTCAGAATTTAAGGATATCTCAAGTTTGTACTAAAATTTATTCGTGTATTAAACTTTATGTAAATGTAAAGATTTAAATAACATTAATATATACGAAGTCGTCACAGCATAACTGGCGTTACGCTTGCACGTGAAATGACTTGGTATTTAGCGTGTGATTGTCGGTTTCATAGGAAGAGACTAATTTAGACAATGTCACCGACAAGGACTGAACTGGAAACCGACCGGTTGTGACAGCCGTGAGATATATGAATTATTATGCTCTTTTCAATTGTATGTTAATTTACGTAAGTCGAGGTTCGTTGTGTATTCACACCATCTTTTTTATATACTTATAATATGTTAATTGTTTGTTTTTTATACGAAAATAATTTGCTAAACCAATTCAAAAAAATCTTCCAGCAAAAAAAGCTGTACTATGTATAATATTATCGATATACCACGGAAGCAGAATAGCTAAAAAGTAGTAAATAAACATAAACAACTCCCATTTACCTGGATCAACCCAAACAGTGAGTTCCCGGGGGAGGTGTTCTAGTACATCACGGACTGGTACTCCAGATTCTCTTGCCGCTCGCTCCAATACCGGGTCTAATGGGCCACCGGTTTTCAGACACCGGAATGCTGACCCTCGGCACGGCCGGTCTGGGTACCAATGACCCAGGAACTTGTCTTTTAACGCCTTCTCCAGTTCTTCTCCAAAAATGTTCACTCGCCGCCTTGGCAGTTTGTTGTATAGGTACGATATAACGAAGTTGAGTGCGACTTGTACTTCAATATGCATTGTTGGGTTAACTGTAACAAACAAGTAAACATTTATTTTTTATAGGTATATTACAATATACATTTATATAATAAAAAGTAGGATAAGTAAAAAGAATAGTAAGTATACTTTTAAAATATACCTTGCTAAAGAAAATGTTTAAAGACTAAACTGCTATAATGATACTAAAACGAAATGATGCTACATCTCACAAAATCACATATTATCTATCTCAAGGCGATATTACTATCTCGTAGATAATACTTCTTATTTTAACGTATTGAGATAGCTCACGATTTTATGATTGATATTCGAAGGATTATAAATATGAGCAATGAGATATTATTCAACTGTTGAACTAGTTTTTTTTTGCGATTAATTATAAAATAAAATCGAAGTGACTATTTGTACGGGTACTGGACGAATAAATTATATTTATTCGTACGGACGTACGTATATTTCATACGGATATTATTATTTTTTATTATTAAATTTATTACTAATACTTATACTTATTTTTTTTAATCGATTTGGTTAGGTTAGGTTAGGTTTTTTTTTTAATCGATTTGGTTAGGTTAGGTTAGTAGTAGTAGTAGTATTTAATAGTATTAAAATCGGCAAACATTTACCATTTTTTGGTTTAAATTAAAAACAAATAGAAACGCAAAATTATTTTTTAAATTTCCACTCTAATTGATAAAATAAAATTATTCATCCGACTTATGTACGAATAATAATAAATTGTTTGACCAGTACCCGTATTAATAATTATAAATTTTTCGTACGGTAACCGTATTAATAGACTCGGCCTTATAAAATCGATCATTATATTGATTCGATACTAAGAACTGGCTACCTGTAAATGCAATATTTAAATAGGAAACGAGCTGCCTCGATGAAGAATTCATGAAAAATATAACCATTTTCAACAAGTATCTAAAAAATTAAAAATAAAATAAACAACGATGACGTTTTGCGACATTTTATACATATGTACTATGTAAAGATTATGCCAGTAACATTTATACACGTGAGTGTGGAACTTAAACGGTTAGCATAATTTTGTTCACGAAAGGCAAGTCATGCAACGTTTTACGACATAGTATAAGATCAAAAACACGTTGAAAATAAAATCTACTAAAATATAAGGCATAAATCGTATTATTTTGATGTCGGTCGTTGCCCCCAATCCGTCTGTTCGCAGAGGATTGGCTAATTTTATTTCCGTACCAAATTAACTTCGGCCTTCCACTGATGTTATGAGTGGGCTAGACGTAGAGTTAAGAATCTTGTAGAGATAGTAGCAGTTTAGATTGTTATATAAAATAAATGTTTCACGTAATTTCAACAGTAAATAGATGTAAGCCACTATTAACCCATTGACTTTCTATTACTTATTCCCAAAAAGCTTATAGATTCCCAAAAAGCTTATAGATGAAGAGTACTTTTATCGGTACTAGCGCGTAGTATTTCGATGGTAAAAGAAGAAGGTTGTCATAAAGAAGGTTGCAGTTTAAATAGAATAGTGACGTTTTACTTATTGTTTTATTTACCGTCGAAGTATTACGCGCTAGTACTCAAAGAAGTACTCTGTATTAAATCTATAAGCTTTTTGATAATAAGTAATAGAAAAGTCATTTTGTTCAATGCTTTTCTATTATTAATTGTTAGTAAGCTTCTACATTATATATCTATTCTAAAATTATGAGGAAAAAATTGTTTTTTTTTGTGTGTTTGTTTGTATTGAATAGGCCCCGGAACTACTAAACCGATTTAGATGAAAGGTAAGAAGATAGTTTGAGATCCCTTAAGGAGGTGAAAATGGGGGTGAAAGTTTGTATGGGCACAGATCATATAATACTATACTAGTAGTATAGGGAAGCAACTTATTTTATAAATATATAAAAGTTATGCAATCATAAATTTAAATAGCAAATATATAATACAAGCTTTATCATAGTTCGACATAATTTAAATCTGAATGTAGTGGAAATTTCATATTTCACTGGAAATATGACTTTGTAAAGGATATATTTAATAAAATCTGTAAATGCAATAAGCTTAATTAAAAAAGGTTATTCTTCAAATATTTATTAACACTTTCATTACATGTTCATTGTTTAACATGACGTCTCACATATTAATAATATTCATAATATTCATCGTAAATGCTTATACGTTAGTGTTTAACGTCTTTTACGGTAAATAATAAAGTAATGATAATATGTTATGTACATAGTTTTTTTTTATTTAGATATTTTTACTACGAAGAATGATTAGAATTGTGACGTTTTACTACTGGATTTATTTACCGTCGAAGTACTACGCGCTAGTACTGATGGAAGTACTCTTTATTTTGTTTTAAGCAATACTTATATTTATTCCCAAAGAGGATTATATAATAAATAAATAAATATGTTGGGACTCACAGCACCGTCTAGTTCCATAGTCAACTTCGAGACTTGTGTTATGGATACCAGATAGTTGATATACTACACATTTATAACTTTAAATACATACATATTATAAATATAAACATCCATGACAGGAGTACAAACATTATCATTATGCTCATCACACGAATGCTCCCAGCGGGACTCAAACCCGCGACCGTTGGCACAGCGAGTAGGGTCCCTACCAACTGAGCCAAACGTGTCGTCAAATATGTATATGTAACCAATGCATTATATACCAACCATCTTAGGCATAAAAGTTAAGTGCAGTTCCAGTTAGATAGTTAAGAAGGTCATTATAGTATTCAGGGCAACAATGACATTTTTCGGCCTATACAATAATATATAAATAGGATAAACTAACAAACCAAACACATTTTTACGTTTATAATTTTATAATTGTTGTGAAAATTTTGAATATATTTCGATATGATTTATTATGGAGTATATCGTTGTACTGTGTTCAATAAAACTGGCCAATAGATAAATAATAAACTTGATTATTATAAAGGATATTTTTTATTTATTTAGGGTAATTTAGGGTCTTCTAATCTAGAATACTTTTATATCTATTAACATTGTGCTTCAAAAGAACGTTAAAGATAGAAGAATAGAAAGAAAAAACATTTTAACAGGAGTGGAGCTACGGGCTTCTTATAGTACATATTTGGAGTATGGGAGAAATTAAAACCAACTCCAATAGAGTTATTTACATCAGTTTTAATAATGAGTAAAACCTAATAGACTTACATGACATATAATATATCAAATTAACTTTTTCTTATTCTTTTTAAACGGGCAAAACGAAACAACATATAAAAACTATTTTAGTTTTCCGCCACACATATAGGTATAACATACTTTCTATCTCATGAGTATGTTTTAATTCCGGTCGCCATTTATAGAGCCAGTCACGTGTCTGCCACACTATAGGACCACGTGCAGAGCGTTTAATTTGAACGGTGGACATCACATGATATTCTAAACTCTACCTATCTCTACATTTTTTAGTTAAAACATTTGTAACTAAATGTATGTTAAAAAATTACAAAAATGTTATAGTATTACCATTTTTAATAATTTAATGTAAAAAAATATGTATATGTATAAAATAATAGTTTAATTCAAGCACATTATTAATTATAATTATATGATTAATATATTTTTTTTATAATTAGATAAGGTTAATGTTGTTAAAGTTCAATCAAGCTTAGGCTTAAATAATTATATTTACATATTTTAGGATAAATGTTTATGATAATAGTTCTATTTTATTTTATTCAAATATTATAAATATTTTTTTATTATCAAAGTATAAGATGGGATTTTTTCAAAAAATATAGTAGGTACTGTATATATATATTATATATATTTGATATTTTTGCGACCTTTAGACATTCGACCTTAAAGTGTCAGACAGTAACGAGACCTCGAACTTCTAAACTATAACATTTAATCGAATTTTAAAAGATTGTGTTAATGGAATTAATAAAAGTAGTTCGGTGCCGTATAATTTGGTAAAAGTACTCGATGACCGTTGTAGCGTTGTAGTGTATGAATCTAACACTGTATACTAGAACAGAGTTCAAAAGTTTATTTCCGCTGTTTTTTAACTTATTTGTAACGTCAACAATAACATATAATTTTCAGGGATTCTAAAGTTTTCTATTGAAAAAAAAAACAATTGATATTATAATTTACTGTTAAGTTATCCAACTTGTTAGCCATTTAAGTTTAATTTACAGTTAATGGAAAATTTTTAATTAAGCAATTTTTGATTAATGGTAAAACTTGTGTTCAAACATATCGTGCATACATTTCAGATATTTTTTAGATTTGTACGGATTATTTCGAGAACAGACATATTCGTATTTTACAAATTAAAAAGCCATGTAAATATAAAATTTTAGAACATATTAATAATAAAGAAATATAATAATAAAGAGAATAAAATTAACATATATAGAAAAACATTTTTAAGCGAGCATAAATATAGGAAAGGTTTTATATAACATAATTCACACGAAGGCCAATACGAAATTAAAGTAAAAGAGGTTTCCCAATCCATTTCACGCCCCAAAAGGTGCGTCCAGTGAGCAAGATTCACCAATTATGTCATATATACATGTCATATATACATACATATATGTATAAGTCATAGAACAATGTTTTACTTTTGAATTATAGAAATATACTCGCTTTTGCTGCGGCTCTACTCGCGTAGTTTATTAATGTGTACTTATGCATTCATAAGAGTATTGTTAGATATGACATGCAAAAAGATTGTGCCAAATCTGATTATTAGTTACTCGCTAACCTTTATCCACCCCTTTAAATTATAAATTATATAACACCCGGTCCCACGGTAACTATTTTACGGACCGTGTTAAATATATATATATATATATATATATATATATATATATATGTATATATATATAATTTTGTACTATAACTTTTGTATGAAACTCATGTATAAAATTAATTATTAAATACTTTAATAAAAAAAATCATAGTTTTTATTTTACATTGTACAGTACTAGTCAAATTTCTTTGTATAAATAAGTT